CCTCCAGGGTCAGTGGCCGAAGCTATTCATGCTACATTTACCTAGTTTAATAAGTCGTAATTCTGAACTATAATGAAGATTGAATACATTGTAGCCCAATAACATAATTTAATAGATAATTTACTTACTACAAGGCCGTATCCAGGGGGATATTGGTTGTCTGTAACCCCCTCTAGCATTTTGTCCAATACTGTATCCCACACTAGAATTTTGTCCAATACTGTATCCCAGAATTTTGTCCAATACTGCCACACTAGAATTTTGTCCAATACTGTAACCTCTCTCAAGCATTTTGTCCAATACTGTATCCCACACTCAGAATTTTGTCCAATACTGTATCCCACACTCAGAATTTTGTCCAATACTGTAACCTCTCTCTAGCATTTTTGTCCAATACTGTATCCCACACTAGAATTTTGTCCAATACTGTAACCCCCTCTAGCATTTTGTCCAATACTGTATCCCACACTAGAATTTTGTCCAATACTGTAACAAGGACAAAAACAAAACAAATACATACCTAACCTAACCTAACCTAACCTAACCTAACCTAACCTAACCTAACCTAACCTCCACTACGCCAGGGATCTTTTATGCTGGGTGGTGAGTTTACAGTATCTTCTCGCCTCATACGTGGTCGAGGCTGCGTGTAGGATATTCATATAAATCATTACGTTAGGTTATACGCAACGTCACCTCACCTTCCCGTACCCTTGTGGTCATCGTGCTTAGGTTAGGTTAGGTTAGTTATCGGAAGTGTATTGTGTAGTGTAAGTTATTAAGGAGGATATAGTTAGTGTAGTGTAGTGTATAGCAGGAATGGGTACAGCCTCTCTCTCTTACTGTAATGTTTAACCTCTATCATCTCCATAATGGTGTATTGTATCGCTGTAAGTCGCTGTAATTCGCTGTAAGTCGCTGTAATTCGCTGTAATTCTCCCTATGATGACGTGTTATTCTTGTGGCTATACTGTAAATATTAGTGTTTGAATATTTATACTCTTGTGCTACTCCCTCTCTGGTGATGAAGGTATTGTGATATTGAAGGTCATGTGAGGTGAAATGTTAGTGATTCTTGGGGGTAGAAAGACGAGAGGTCATGGTCACTCAGCCACCTAACTCGTACGGGTCGATGTTTACATGTGTAGTTCCTGAGTCGACCGCCAGGTGCAGAAAACATCCCGGTGTCAGGGCAGATGACGGTATATCTTTGTTCTGACACACAAGATGGAGGGAAAATAAGGGTTCTGGTTGACCTTTGACCTATGACCTATGACGGTTTGACCACCTTGATGAACTAACCTGGGTATGTCACACAATATTAACCCCGGGAAGGTCAGCATTAATCCCAGGAAGCTTAGCGATAAATTATAATCGAGAGTCCATCTTATGACAGGTCCATTAGATCAAAACATTCTTAAGTCATTAGTTACGATAAATCCAGCTTAAGAATTTACGACACTCTGGACCCAAAGCTTTTAGTAATAATCTTTTACCAACAAGTTACACTCCAGGGAAAGCGATAACACACACACACACACACACACACACACACACACACACACACACACACACACACACACACAATGATGGATAGAGTCAGTTTTTTTCAGGAAATCTCACTTAGCCCTTTGAGTACACTGATGCACACTATAAAGAAGACAAATAGCGAACAAGGAACGAGCTCGCTACTGGGAGGTAATCATTCTTTCCTGGAATAGCGAAAACCACCAAACCTTCTTTCTCTCTCTCTGTATGTTAATTTATCAGTAGTTCTCTGTAATCATAAAAGGTTAGGTTAGGTTTGGTTTGGTTTGATTTGGTTAGGTGAGGTTTAATGTACGTCACTTAACATCTTACACTTGACACCTAACCAAACCTCACCTAATCTAACCTAACCAAACCTCACCTAATCTAACCCCCCCCCCTCCCCAATAGTATTAGGGTGGTTAATCTTTAGTTGAAATAATCTGGGGTGGTGATTCTTCAGGTGATCTCTTTATAATACTCAGAAGGCTAATAATATAATCCTCGATGAGTAATTAGTAATCCATAAGGAATAATTTCTAATAATCAAGTGAGAATTATATCGGCTTAATAATAAGTAATTAAATATAATGCTCTGAAGGTCATAATTCTTTGTGGGTAATTAATTATACTGAAGAGGTAATTTATAAGACTCAATAATTAATTTTACGTAATATGTTGGTAAATTATACTCATCATACTCAAGGCCTTAATTAATAATTCTTAAGGTGGGGGATTCATCGTACTTGAAGGATTATATTATTCTATGAGAGGTCTATTTATCGTACTCAAAGCGTTCATCGGTACTCAAGTGGTCATTGTACTCAAGGGGTCATTGTACTCAAGGGGTTCATCGTACTCAAAGGATGTATTTGTGCTTATATACATGTATGTGTGTGTATTATATGTGCTAATTCTCTTTCTTACGTTATATTTTGTGTTTCAGGTTAAGTCAAACATTAAAGGTGTTTCT